CTACAACCTTCGTTGAAGAATATTACCATTAAATTTGATTCTTTTCCTTTGTAGTTATTCCATGATTCCCCCAGTATCCTCTATGCCCTTCATTTGGTTGTACTACAGAGTGAAACTCCCTTTTTCTAACATTGTCTAAAGCCTAGTACACATGATCAGAAAATGGTACAAAAACTATCGTTTTCGAAGCGATCGTAAAATAATCTGATCCAGGGGCGGGCTGACCATTTGGAAACTCGGGCACTGCCCGAGGGCCCGGGGTCAGTAGGGGGCCCCATGAGATGCCCCTGGTACCTTTTTCGTAGGGTTTTATGAGTTTGGGCAAGGACACAGGGGCCCCATGATCCCCTATTGCCCGGGGGCCCCATGTGTTGTCAGTCCGCCCCTGATCTGATCGTTAGTACACAGCTTTCATCTGAAATTATTCAAAGGAACAAGCATGAAAATTTCTCATATGATACCAGATCATACAATTTTCTTTTGATTAGTACAGTTTTCATCCGAAAATACAATATGAATAAATTAAAATACAGGACATTACAAATTTTTATTCTGTCCTACGAGAATTTTTGTAACTTTAGTAGCCTCTTCATTATCGAAATGAGACTAGCATGCACGGGGATTAAGCCTAGAATGATTTAGTTAGAGAACCTAAACTCTAGATCCTAAAATATGCTGACCTGTGAATAAACTCTGAGGCTGTCTAAATACCTGCCCAGGGGCGGACTGACAACTCATGGGGCCCCCGGGCAATAGGGGAGCATGGGGCCCCTGTGTCCTTGCCCAAACTCAAAAAAGGCTATGAAAAAGGTACCAGGGGAATCTCATGGGGCCCCCTACTGACCCGGGCCCTTGGGCAGTGCCCGAGTTTGCAAATGGTCAGTCCGCCCCTGTACCTGCCCCAACCCATTCCAGCACATTATATGATTCAGCTACAGATAGAAACAAAGATTTCAATGCATTTTGAGCAACTTTGTTGAAGCCTTTAAGGCTGAAGTTTAAGTATAGCAATTTCTTATAGTTACATTGATCCAGCTTGGACCAACAAATGTATGTACAATATGTGTCATACGTGACCAACCCCCATGGAAGCTAGAAGTCACTGTAGTAGGAACAGCTACTCTTGTGATCTCCACTAGCGTCCTAGTCCTGTGCTGAGCAATTGTCCTGCTGCATTGTGAACACAGGCGTTTGTTTACTCAGCATGGGCACCATTCAGGGAACAAAAAGCATGCAAAGCAGATCATTGATGTCACCATCTCCACCTCACATGGGACCTGGAAGCTAGTGGAGATCACTGGAGAAGTGGTGCCTACAGTGATTTCCAACTTCCAGGGGGATCCCACAGGTATGGTGTGTGCATACTTACATTGGTCCAGCTTGGTAAAAGCTAAGATACCTGAATTTCATCTTAAGCAAACTTCAGTTCCAGATTTTAACCCCTCGCCTGCAGGGCACTTATACCCCCTTCCTGTCCAGGCCAATTTTCAGCTTTCTGTGCTGTCACACTTTGAATGACAATTGCGCGGTCATGCAACACTATACCCATATGAAATTGTTTGAGACAGATAAAGCTTTCTTTTGGTAGTATTTAATCACCCCTGGGTTTTTTTTATTTTTTGCTAAACAAACCCAAAACAACTGAAAATTTTGTAGAAAAAACTCTTTTTTTCTTAGTTTTTGTAATAAAATTTTGCAAAGAAGTGATTTTTTTCCTTCACTGATGTGTGCTAATGAGGCTGCAGTGATGGGCACTGATAGGCTGTACTGATGGGCACTGAGGCACTGGTAGGTGGCACTGATGGGCATTGACAGGCATCACTGATGGACACTGAAAGGCAGCACTCATATGGCACTGATAGGCGGCACTGGTAGGTGGCACTGACTGGCACTGATAGGCAGCACTGATTGGCAACATTGATAGGTGGCACTGACTGGCATTGATAGGTGGCACTGAAAGGAAGTTCAGATGGGCACTGATATGTGGCATTGATGTGCACTGATGGGCACTGGCAGGTGGCAATGATGAGCACTGAAAGCTGGCCTTGATGGACACTGACAGGTGGCACTGCTGGGGCTACACTGATCATCAGAGCACACTGATCATCAGTGCCCTGATGATCAGTGTACATGTCCCCTCCAAGGAATGCCGATTACCGGCTCTCCTCTCAAGCTGTCAGCATGATTTCCTTATTTATATGTGATCACCTGTGATTGGACACAGCTGATCACATGACCGAGCCGACGTCTTCGGCTCTTTCCATTGATCGGTGATCCGCTGTGTCCGAGGCACACAGCGCACCACCGATCGCCGCACTGTGCGCCCCCGGAGCCGCGCATGCATGGTTAGAGTGGGAGGACATCATATGGCGTCCTCCCAGAACGAGAGAACCGCCTTGCGCCCGTCATTTCCTTATATGGCGGGCGGGAAGCGGTTAATGGAATGTAGCACCACCTCTGAAGGAAATGTTTGGTAATTTTTTAGGTTCTCTGTTTTGCGCCTCAACTCCAGGGACAACCTTCCTACACATGCAGAATACCTTTAGTCTGTCTGTGGGCTACCATCAGAGATAAATACACACCCATTTAGTGGTAGATACTCTTACTCTATTGATATGGATTAAAACAAATGACAAATTGTTACATAGATGAACACACAGCAGGAAGATTAACCACTTTAAGTCCAGGCCAGGCATGAAGACGGTCAACAGGTCCTGCTAGCGGTATTAGAGCAATTAGATGGTTAGTTGGGCATGGTTTAGTCACGGGTGTAGTCACTTCGGTCACAAGACCCTCACACCAGACTCTGCAATCCAGCATCAGTGATCTTCTCTGCACAGATGTCCCTTCACACTGAATTGTCCATGGTGGCTCCCATGGACAGAGCGGCATTGTCTGTCTTATGGTTGTGGCTCCAACAATCCGCTGCTGGATCGTGACCCTTGCCCGTCTGTTGCAGAAAAAGGGTTTCAAAGACTGGGTCTCCCTCTCTAGACTGGTGCCAATCAGCATGGTTCTCTTTTTCTGCTCTCCTGGGCTGCACTGAACTCTCAAGCCAACTGTGCCTGGGAAGAAAACTGGTGTTTCTCCTCCTTTAGTCAAAAGTCACTGGGAACTGTAGTCCAGAGCCCACTACTTGCTATGGCCACCGTTGTTCCTTGGGAATACATATCCCAACATGTACTTCTCCCCCATGCTGATGGGTTCCTTCCACAGCCTAAATGGGAAGGGGGTGTGTGAAGAAAAGAGGCAATCGGGCAGCAAGTTGGGATTATACAAAGTCCACGCCCATCCCACTCTGTTTACTCATCCAGCAATGGTAAAGCAGCAAAGTAAAGGAGGGGGGAATCGGCCGTACCCACTACAGGGACAATTGTCCCATGACTGTCATTCCATATAAGCAGGCCTGAGCAGGCCTTCAGCGTTCTCCGATTGGATAAGGTGGAGAGAAGGGTTGCTACATCTCCACATTGTCCAACCAAAGAATACCTTGTATTCATTGAAAAATATACAAGGCGTTCTGTGAAAAGTGGCCATGCCAAGCAAGTGACCCCTCCATGGTCAATGTGCAGAAGGGAAGCCGCTTAGCACAGGACCCAGGAGAACCCAGCAATCACTGTAGTTAGTGCTGACTACTATGGTAATTGTCACCTTCCACAGTGGACCATTGGGTATGAGATATGCACACCTACATTGTGCCAAGCTGGACCACTATAACTATTGTATGAGTATAAAGCGGAACTTTACCTAAAAAGGGAAATTCCTCTTATCCTCCCCTCCTTTCTCCATAGTCTCTCTTTTTTTTGAGGGGGTACCTAGTTTTGAAAGGTATCTTCCCCACTTCCACTGGGATTTCCTAGGCAATCTGGGTGAAAGTTCAACCCTCCCTCCCCCCTTCCCGCCTGCAACCTCCTGGGACATGCCAGGGGTCCTAGGAGGCAGCGGGACCATTCGCAGAGTGCAACACTACTTGGGCGTGCGCAGTATGGAGCCAGCTGTAAAGCTGCAGGGAGTCACAGCCAGCTTCCTACAGTCAACATGGTGGAGCTGGAGATCCGAAAACCAACAAAGAACCTGCCCTGGTGAAGACAGCACTGGATCCCTGGACAGGCAAGTGTCTTTTTAAACCTGTCTGAAGTTTCTTTTTTAAGTTCATACCTGGAGTTCAGCTTTTAATTAGGTTTCAGTTACCTCCCAAGCATTGGCTGTTTTTTTGGATGTTACTAGAGAATTTTTACCAGTCCGCCCATCCTTTGCTCCTGGAACAAAACTGTTATGTGACATTACATAATATCATTGCTAAAATGTTGCTAATGCTCTATGTGCGTGGTAAACTATAAAAGCATGAAATATGCAATCATTGCGGACAAAGGTTGTCATAGTGACGGGTTTATACAAGGTTTGAACAGTCTGTAATTTTTTCAGGCTGCTGTCCGTAAAAAAATAAGTAAAAATTGGGTAGCCAAGCATGAAAGCACCTATTTATTCAAGATCTTGGCTTTTGCATAAAAGTATCAGGTAGGACATGGGGAAAGAATACAAGAGTATAGGGGCTCATTCACACAAGCATACGCAGATTTTCTGCACAGAATGCAGGCTTTTACTGGCTGAGATAGCAAAAGATCCTTAACATATGCGCCCATTTGTAGACTCGTGCAGCGGTTAGATACGTACAGTTCTTCTACTTACCGTATATGCATTTGTGTTTATACATTTATACACGCATAAAATCAGCAGAAATACAGCAAATGGTTCTGGATGCAGCTGTGTCTTTTTTCGGTAGGACGCTAAACATTTCGTTTGTAGATGCAGCTGTTTGTATGGCAACTTTGCATTTACGTAGATGCGTATAAAACTATATGCTGTGTGCTTCTAAATGCAGTGTTTTAGATGCCCGTGTGAATGAGGCCTAAGAGAAGGTAAGACAAAATCTTAAGCCCCCTAAACCAGAGCTAAAGTGTTTGCTACTAAACCCAGGACCCTGCATTCACTGTATCCGGTCTCCCCGGACCCTGCATTCACTATCTCTTGTCTCCCCGGACCCTGCATTCACTATATCCGGTCTCCCTGGACCCTGCATTCACTATATCCGGTCTCCCTGGACCCTGCATTCACTATATCCGGTCTCCCCGGACCCTGCATTCACTATATCCGGTCTCCCCGGACCCTGCATTCACTATATCTTGTCTCCCCGGACCCTGCTTTCAGTATCTCTGGTCTCCCTGGACCCTGCATTCACTATATCCGGTCTCCCCGGACCCTGCATTCACTATATCTTGTCTCCCCGGACCCTGCTTTCAGTATCTCTGGTCTCCCTGGACCCTGCATTCACTATATCCGGTCTCCCTGGACCCTGCATTCACTATATCCGGTCTCCCCGGACCCTGCATTCACTATATCCGGTCTCCCCGGACCCTGCATTCACTATATCCGGTCACCTCGGACCCTGCATTCATTATATCCGGTCACCCCGGACCCTGCATTCACTATATCCGGTCTCCCCGGACCCTGCATTCACTATATCCGGTCTCCCCGGACCCTGCATTCACTATATCCGGTCTCCCCGGACCCTGCATTCACTATATCCGGTCTCCCCGGACCCTGCATTCACTATATCCGGTCTTCCCGGACCCTGCATTCACTATATCCGGTCTTCCCGGACCCTGCATTCACTATATCCGGTCTACCGGGACCCTGCATTCACTATATCCGGTCTCCCCGGACCCCGCATTCACTATATCCGCTCTCTCCCCCCCGGACCCCGCATTCACTATATCCGGTCTCCCTGGACCCTGCATTCACTATATCCGGTCTCCCCGGACCCTGCATTCATTATATCCGGTCTCCCTGGACCCTGCATTCACTATATCCGGTCTCCCTTGACCCTGCATTCACTATACAGTATTTGGTCTCCCCAGACCCTGCATTCACTATATCCGCTCTCCCCGGACCGTGCATTCATTATACAGTATTTGGTCTCCCCAGACCCTGCATTCACTATATCCGCTCTCCCCGGACCCTGCATTCACTATATCCGCTCTCCCCCGACCGTGCATTCATTATACAGTATTTGGTCTCCCCAGACCCTGCATTCACTATATCCGGTCTCCCTGGACCCTGCATTCACTATATCCGGTCTCCCCGGACCCTGCATTCACTATATGCGGTCTCCCCGGACCCTGCATTCACTATATGCGGTCTCCCCGGACCCTGCATTCACTATATGCGGTCTCCCCGGACCCTGCATTCACTATATCCGGTCTCCCCGGACCCTGCATTCACTATATCCGGTCTCCCCGGACCCTGCATTCACTATATCCGGTCTCCCCGGACCCTGCATTCACTATATCCGGTCTCCCCGGACCCTGCATTCACTATATCCGGTCTCCCCGGACCCTGCATTCACTATATCCGGTCTCCCCCGGACCCTGCATTCACTATACAGTATTTGGTCTCCCCAGACCCTGCATTCACTATATCCGCTCTCCCCCGTCCGTGCATTCACTATACAGTATTTGGTCTCCCCAGACCCTGCATTCACTATATCCGCTCTCCCCCGGACCCTGCATTCACTATATCCTGTCTCCCTGGACCCTGCATTCACTATATCCGGTCTCCCCGACCCTGCATTCACTATATCCGGTCTCCCCGGACCCTGCATTCACTATACAGTATTTGGTCTCCCCAGACCCTGCATTCACTATATCCGCTCTCCCCGGACCCTGCATTCACTATATCCGGTCTCCCCGGACCCTGCATTCACTATATCCGGTCTCCCCGGACCCTGCATTCACTATATCCGGTCTCCCCGGACCCTGCATTCACTATATCCAGTCTCCCCGGACCCTGCATTCACTATATCTGGTCTCCCCGGACCCTGCATTCACTATATCCGGTCTCCCCGGACCCTGCATTCACTATATCCAGTCACCCCGGACCCTGCATTCACTATATCCGGTCTCCCCGGACCCTGCATTCACTATATCCGGTCTCCCGGGACCCTGCATTCACTATATCCGGTCTCCCCGGACCCTGCATTCACTATATCCGGTCTCCCCCCGGACCCTGCATTCACTATACAGTATTTGGTCTCCCCAGACCCTGCATTCACTATATCCTCTCCCCCCGGTCCGTGCATTCACTATACAGTATTTGGTCTCCCCAGACCCTGCATTCACTATATCCGCTCTCCCCGGACCCTGCATTCACTATATCCTGTCTCCCTGGACCCTGCATTCACTATATCCGGTCTCCCCGGACCCTGCATTCACTATATCTGGTCTCCCCAGACCCTGCATTCACTATATCTGGTCTCCCCAGACCCTGCATTCACTATATCTGGTCTCCCCGGATCCCGCATTCACTATACAGTATTTGGTCTCCCCAGACCCTGCATTCACTATATCTGGTCTCCCCGGACCCTGCATTCACTATATCTGGTCTCCCAGGACCCTGCATTCAATATATCTGGTCTCCCAGGACCCTGCATTCACTATATCTGGTCTCCCCGGACCCTGCATTCACTATATCCGCTCTCCCCACAGTACACATTACATGGCAATGCAATTATTTTAGTAAATATAAACTGCTAAATCCCTTTTCTCATCAACAGTATATAGCAGTTTTGTGACTTCTATCAGTGTCCAGCAGAGCACTGGTTAAAGCTTGTAGGAGGAGTTTTCATTTTTCTCTAGGAGGATGCAGAGCCCATGACCTCTGTCTGGACAGTGCTGATTGGCCCTGTGCTGATCACATGCACTCTCCCAAGAAAAAAACCTATCTAGCAATACACACTAAACTAAGCATATGCAGAGTGACTCCACACAATAAGTCTTATCAGGAGATAAGAGGGGGGTACTGGAAGAAGGGGAGGATCAGAGAAGTCAGGATCAAACAGTGTTTTTACATAATGCAGAGGATTAACCCCTTAGGTACCACAGTGAGTATAACAAGCATGCTTTCCTGCATATACAGACTGATTGTACTGTTGGGGGTTTAGTAACACTTAAAAAAAAAAAATAAAAGTGCAGGAGAATCCTGTTAAATGGAAGGTATACCCTATTTAATTTTTTTTAGATAAACAAGTAAAAGTGATCTGCTAGATGTACATAATCTTAAAAGAGGAGTTCCAGCCCACCCACCCCCCCCCCCCCCCCCAAAAAAAAAAAAAAATTAAAAAGTCAGCAGCTAAAAATAGCGTAGCTGCTGACTTTTAATATTAGGGCACTCCAGGCATCTGGCGCTGTCCTCAATCGGCTATCAGGTGCTGGCTCCGCCATCTTGACTAAGGGAAATCGGCAGTGAAGCCTTGCGGCTTCATAGCCAGTCTCCTACTGTGCATGCGCAAAGTTCTGTGCATTGTGAATGGGTCGCAATCTTCTGGGACCTATGTTTGATAAAGATTCCAAGTGTGGCAGCAGAAGACAGTAGGAGGCAGACAGGCGGAGCTTCCCCTTTTTGGTGGAACTCCGCTTTAATAATGTGTGTTAATGTTTTAGGAGTCGTATTTCTGTGCACAATTTGTAATTTTATATAGTTGTTGGCAGCTACAGTATCTCACAGAAGTGAGCACACCCCTCACATTTTTGTAAATATTTTATTATACCTTTTCATGTGACAACACTGAAGAAATGACACTTTACTACAATGTGACGTAGTCAGTGTACAGCTTATAACAGTGTAAATTTGCTGTCCCCTCAAAATAACTCAACACACGGCCATTAATGTCTAAACCGCTGGCAACAAAAGTGAGAACCCCCCTAAGTGACAATGTCCAAATTGGGCCCAAAGTGTCAATATCTTGTGTGACCGCCATTATTTTCCAGCACTGCCTTAACCCTCTTGGGCATGGAGCTCACCAGAGCTTCACAGGTTACCACTGGAGTCCTCTTCCACTCCTCCATGACAACATCATGGAACTGGTGGATGTTAGAGACCTTGCGCTCCTCCACCTTCTGTTTGAGGATGCCCCACAGATGCTCAATAGGGTTTAGGTCTGGAGACATGCTTGGCCAGTCCATCACCTTTACCCTCAGCTTCTTTAGCAAGGCAGTGGTCATTTTGGAGGTGTGTTTGGGGTCATTATCATGTTGGAATACTGCCCTGCGGCCCAGTCTCGGAAGGGAAGGGATCATGCTCTGCTTCAGTATGTCACAGCATATGTTGGCATTCATGGTTCCCTCAATGAACTGTAGCCGCCAGTGCTGGCAGCACTCATGCAGCCCCAGAACATGACACTCCCACCACCATGCTTGACTGTAGGCAAGACACACTTGTCTTTGTACTCCTCTATTGTTTATAACACAGTGATAGAAATTAAATAACCTTTTGGAGCGGTGCTTCTATCACAAACCCTATTGATATGGGTCTGTATGGCCATTAAAAACGCCGCCCTGCTGTCACTCATACTGAATCCCCCTCTGGTGACAGATGCAGTGCCCACACCTTCCTGTAATAGGCAATGGTGTTTCTTTCTATCTACAGCAAAATGGCACCCGCAGAGTGCGCATGCGCGATTACCGCACTAGCCTATATAATGAATGGAGGTCTGTCATGCTACTGTTGGCCTCCCCTCTGATGATGTGCTCTGCATGAAAGGCCTAAGGAGGAGCCAACAGAGCGTGACGTCACAGCCGCCGGAGCCATGAGGAGGCCCGGCGGCCATCTTAACTAAGGGGTCAGGATCACTACTCTGTACTATCACACAGAATCTAAGTGTTTTACTACCCTGTTTTTATCTGTATTTTTGAGCAAATAAAATCTTGAATTACTACACTATGGGCACCTGTTCTTTGGCTCCCATTGGAGCTAATTAACTTTCAGGATACCCTATTGCGATCCACTACCACCAGAGGGAGGGAGCCCTGTATCCAGGCTGAGCACCCGTCCAACCTTAAGGGGACCTCTGGACCTAGCAGTTTTATTATACACCTTCCAAGGCAAGATCATCTACCCATAGATGGAAGCTCACCTACTCTGCCTACCTAAGTGATCCTGGTGGATATTGATTATATGCGCATTACCCATGCGCGTCCGGTGAGTGCGCATTTCTATCATTGGTTCCCACACCAAGCTTGCCTTGGTAATCTGTTATAACAAGTGGATCATCATAATTTTATGAACTGTTTTATTCACACTTTTATTTTTGAGGATTTTTTATGATTTATTATTACTTTATAGCGCTGCACTTTATCTTATCTGTAGGCAAAACACACTTGTCTTTGTACTCCTCACCTGGTTGCCGCCACACACGCTTGACACCATCTGAACCAAATCAGTTTATCTTGGTGTCATCAGACCACAGGACATGGTTCCAGTAATCCATGTCCTTAGTCTGCTTGTCTTCAGCAAACTGTTTGCGGGCTTTCTTGTGCATCATCTTTAGAAGAGGCTTCCTTCTGGGATGACAGCCATGCAGACCAATTTGATGCAGTGTGTGGCATATGGTCTGAGCACGGACAGGCTGACCCCCACCCCCCACCCCTTCAACCTCTGCAGTAATGCTGGTAGTACTCATACGTCTATTTCCCAAAGACAACCTCTGGATATGACGCTGAGCACGTGC